GACGAGAAATACACTCTTTCAGCACAAACAGGAACACATCAAACCATACATCTGTGTTTGGCCCGCATGTGGACAGCGCTTCGGCAACAATCGCTCCCTCAAGACCCATATAAACGAACACCAGGGCGTCCGGCCATTCAAGTGCCATCACTCGGGCTGTTATCAGTGTTTTTACAGTAAACCACAACTCAATCAACACATGAAAAGCGCACATAAATCCACATTCAATGCCTCCTAATGTGTACTCTGATTATTGTCCGCATATTGTGTTTGAATCGATGTTTTCTATATTATTCGCTATATATCTCACAAAACAAATTAATATTAATATAAATGAATGACTATTTCCAATGTTTTACATCATATTCTATATTATTATTTATTTATTCTGTGGTTTTATTCTTACACATTGTATACGATTTTATAACTATTTTTTATTGTATTTAATCTGTAAAGACATGTTATATGCACTCGAAATACTGATTGTAATGTAGAATAGACTTGGTTTTTAATGTTTTCATTAAATGTAAATTTTTAAAACCTTAAAAATATTATAATAAAAAGTTATATAATTTAATTACAAGTACCGGTATTTGGCAAATAAGTATTCATTTAATTCATAAATTTTTGTCGCATAAGTTGTTGGTTATAAACATTAAATTCAGTTCCAAATCAACTGAAAATAGTATAACTTTTAAAATAATTATTTTTGTAATCTTTTTCTGAAAATCTATTGAAATATTTGAAGACTTTTTTGAGAAGAAATAGACTTTTTGTGTCAAACATTGAGAGTTTGCGTAATCGTTATGACAACAAATGTTTGTAAACATACAACAAGTGATGAATTGAAACGAGTGTTGAATTAATTTGTAAATCAAATGAATTGTAATCACAATTGAAATGACAATCAATTAGTCAATAAATTATGGCTCAAATACTAATCCACGACTTGTTTGAAGAGTTATCTCAAGAAAATCAAAGACTTTTACACCGATTGAAGAGTTTTGAAGAAATGCATGAATTGTTTGAAAACTACAGACAATTAATGATTGCTTTGAATG